GGAAGGATGGCTCAGAGATGCAGTGAAAGGGCATAGAGATGCAGTGAAGGGATGCAGAGGTGCAGCAGGGTGCAGTGGGACACAGCACAGAGCTGTGGGGCCATAGGGGGGATGTAGCAGCAGGGAGCTGTGGGACCATGGGGAGATGTAGCAGCAGGGCTGAGCCGTGTCCCCTGCAGATCCTGAGTCTGTCAGTGAGGAGAGTGGCAGCTCCAGCAGTGAGGAGGAAGAAGGCAGCAGGGTGCAGTCTGAGAAGGAGGAAGAGAAGAGGCCAAAGAGGAAGGACAAGGCTCCTGGAAGGCAGCCACAGGGAGCACGGGCAGGTACCCCCTGCGAAAATGGGGTGCCCTGGCCAAACCCTTGCTTGCCCTGAGCCAGGCTCTCCCCCCAGTCACCTACAGCATCCATACATAACCCCACAGTGAGGACAGAAGACTGCACAGGATCCCACCCCCCTGCACACCCAAGGAGGACAACAAAGATGGATATTTTTTTTTTTTGCTGCAACGTGTTTATTATGTGCCAAAAACTACACCACAGCTTACTCCACGCGTCTGTAGGAGAGTGCAGTCTTGCCTGCATATACTACAATGAGGTAGAGACTTCACACACAGCTTCACAAAACCCCACAAAGAGCAGCTGGGATATGCAACGATGCAACATCGTCCAAGCAGAAAAAAGCAAAACCAAAAACCCAACGGAAAAGGGAGAAATTATGACACTGGTTCTTTGGCACACAGCTTCCAATAGAGGGGAAAGTAAAAAAAAAAAAATAAAATCATAATGGAAGGGTCAAATCCCAGCAGCAGCAGCATTTCAGTCGACTGCACAGTTACTCCGTACATTTCGTCAAGGAAAGGAAAAAAGAACTTGTCCCCCCTAAGAGAAAGGGCTCCTGCGAACCTCCATCCGTGCTCCGACACGCAGCCCTTTTGTAGCTCGGTACAAAAGAAAAAGGTTTAAGTCCTGTGACTTCGTGTGATTAAAAACCTCTATCAACCCCCCATAAGTGCAACTTAAAAAAAGTGCAACAAACTATTTAAAACTATATACAGCAGCTCAGAGATCCGTTATCCGGTCCAGTTTCAAACCCCAAAAAGAAAGGAACACAAAAACCAAGCCCGTCCTGTTGCAAACCCCTCAATTCACAACCTTCCGCCAGCAGCCCCCAGACACAAATTGCAATAATGTTAAAAGCTGCCAGGAAAGAAAAAAAATCTCTCGTTTCAAACGACTTAAAAACTGTTTTTAAGAGTGTAAAAAGGAACTGGTAAAAACCCTCGAGCGTAAAATATGAAATATGATTTGGTTTTAAATGAAGAGCAAAGTCTCCTTGTTGTTACAGTAAAAAACGCCAGCTGAACATCCAGTTTATGCCGTTCAGGTGGGGGTTAAATGAATGGAAAGGCACTGTATGGCAACTGCAAAGAAATGGAGCCAATGAGACCTGCATCATCACCACCAGTATTGCAAGGAATGTAAAAAAGCGCCTTTAATAAATAAAAATCCTAGGAGAAGGCGGGAACACCTTCGCAACACGTGGCCCTTGGAATTAGGTTGCTTTTTTTTGCTTCTCATCAGCAAACTACGAACCAAAGTCTGGGAACTGCAGAATCGCTTGAGGGGCGCTCCCCCCCCTCAAAAACACCCCCAAACAAACCCCAACAAAATTCACTGTGCATTAGTGCAGAAACAAAAAGACCAGCAAGTGCAAACATGAATGTAAGATTATTTGTTTCTCCCCCCCTCCCCATTAGTCCTCAGGAAGCGCGTTCCCAGCCTGGGTTTGGCACCAGCATCATGTGCTCTCCGCCCAGCGGGTTAACAAAGGACTTTCTCCTGCGCCTACGGCAGCCCCCAAGCCCCGGCGGTCCCTTTAGCTGGAGTCTCTGTTCTTCTGGTTGCGCATCAGCGGGCGGTGGTGACGCAGGACCTCCATGGAGTGCTGCCAGTGCCAGCAGGAGCGGCAGAAGTACTTGAAGCAGATCTGGGGGTAGAGCAGAGCAGCAGTGTCATAGGGCTGGGCAATGGCACCGTCCTGCTAGCGAAGCGGCATCAGCCTCCTGCCCTTCCTGGTTTTGCAGCCTACATCTTAGAGGCAGAGGGAGGGAATTCTGGCCACTGAGATTCCAGCATGGCCCTTTTTAACTGGGTTTGAAGATCGGGATCTGTGCACTTGCAGGCAGCTGCTGCCTGGCTCATGGCGCTACTGCAGCCAGCTCCACCACCCAGCTCCCATAGAGACTCCAAAGGAAGCCACTGGACCCTGGCAAAGCTCCTTTGCCCGCAGCAAGAGGTCAGCCAGTGTCCCCTGGGACCAGCTGCAGGGTGACGGCACTTCCAGCTCATCACAGTAGCAGCACCTCCCCACAGGACCTTCACAATGAACCTTCCCCAGAGCGCAGCAGCTGGGCAGGAAAAGCCTCACCTGGTCTCTGCAGAAGAAGGGGCCAGGCTGGGCACTGCACACTTGACACATGGAGTCCTCCAGGTACGGGTCAATCTGAACCTGCAGCAGGAGAATCAGGCAGTGGGCACAGGACAGTGCTGGTTCCGCACAGCCTCACAGCACTCTTCACAGCCACCTCCATGGGCAGGCTCTGTGAGTCACAGTGCTCCCAACCCCAGCACCAACCCCACAGACACAGCTCTGTGGCTGCCCCATCAGCTCCATTCACCTTCTTAGTAAACTTGGTGGTTTTGATCTCCACAAACGCAGCAGTCACAGCCTTCAGGTAACTGCGCTGGTTGTTGAAGGTGACACGGCCAGACCCTGCAAGACAGGCCGACCATGAGCATTAGATGAGTCACAGTGCTCCCAACCCCAGCACCAACCCCACAGACACAGCTCTGTGGCTGCCCCATCAGCTCCATTCACCTTCTTAGTAAACTTGGTGGTTTTGATCTCCACAAACGCAGCAGTCACAGCCTTCAGGTAACTGCGCTGGTTGTTGAAGGTGACACGGCCAGACCCTGCAAGACAGGCCGACCATGAGCATTAGACTGACCTGGCACCTGTGGCAGGAGCT